ACCTTCTTTATTACAATTGTAACATCTAAATGCCACTGAAACAATTATTTATGTGTAAAAACAATGAAAGCATTAGGTCAATTTCTTGCACATTGTAATGAGGTCATCGTAAGACGTTCTCACGCTTTATAATTGCACCATGCCCTATATAATATATATTATATGTATTTGTATGTTTGGGATGAGGTACCAGTTTGTTCAAGTATAAATAAAATTAATGTTCTGTTTATGATCTAGATCCCTGTGTCCCCGAATTAACAAAGTACGAAGCTGCATGTATTTCCCAGGCTGCTATAAGCGAGTCGTTGTACAATATATGATCGATGTTCCAGCGTTCAACTTTATGTACTGGGCAAACACAATTAGGACAGTCACTGTCATTCAGTTATCACATCTCACTACGAACACATCAAATGATGAAGATCGAGAGGAAGATGGCGGTACACTCGGGGAGCGACTCCTAGTACATGTACGGAGTGAGGGACAATCAGTGTGTTGAAGTGGTCCAATACCTGACGCATGTATGCAAAGATCAGATGAGAACTTTTGTCAGAAGCAATTAGGTCGTGGGAACGAATTGGTATGTATTCTCACACTACGTCCACCATCGATCTACCATAATGATGCTCTTGTTGGCACAAGACTTGGATTACCAGATTGTTCCCAAGTGTGCAGCAAAGTCCGTATCGTGCAACTGCTATATTCCTAAACTGCCCTGATTGTTCCGTGTATCTAAGTGGTACATCAACTATTTACTTTCTACATGTTGTTTGTAAGTAAGGATTATGTGGGACAAGTGGTATAAATACAACATGGATGCTCAAAACTCAAATCAGTTGCTTGAATATGTGCATTCTCAGGAAGGAACCAATTTCAAAAAATTGATTTTTCAACTTTGTGTACCACTTTCCCACACGAAAATTCACGTCATTCCCTAATCCATGGGAGTTAAACACGTAGACCTTAGATATATGCTAAATATAATACGTAAAAATAGTAAAATATTTCCAACATCCATACAAAATTAGCACCAAAATGAATTGCCATTTCTGCATAGATTGGGATTGAATTATTTGGATAGAATGAGGTACTGCAGACATTTGGTGAAAATATGGAAAAATCGCGAACAACACAACCACGTGAGAGCCTGGCGCCGAAACCAACCAACATGACATGCACGTACAACATCACTTGTTGGGCTCTGAAAACGTTAGGTCTTCATCGGCAATCTTACAGCAAGTGAACAGCGAAAACATGCGACGACTGACAGAATCCCAACGCATCGTCGGCTGCGACGTCAATGGTGTCAAGTTCAAAGTTCACAATTGCGATGGAGACAAGTTTGGTTTAGTTGCGAGTCACGTTTTATGCTTCGCTGTGCGGATGGAAGACGTCGTGTTTACAGGTGTCGCGGGCAACGTTATGTATGAAACTGCATACAGGGAATGGACAGATTTGGTGGTGGCAGTGTGACGATGTGGGCAGCCATTTTCCACACTGGTAGAACAGACTTGGGGTAATTTTTGGGGAATTTAACAGCACATCGTTACACGGATGAGATTCCTCGGCCACACGTCTTTCCCATTATGCAATCTGCCAACAAGATAACGCCCGACCTCACACGACAAGACTGACAACTGTCTTTTTCAGGAAACACAACATCCAGGTCCTACCATGGCCCTCCATGTCTCCAGATTTAAACACAATCGAACATTTGGGATGCACTGGATCAACGACTGCGGGCACGTCAGCAACAACCACAGAACCTCCGACAGTGAATGAACATTTCCCAGGCCACAATTCGGGATGTGATTGCTTCTATTGGACGACGATGCCAGTCCGATTTGGACTCTAATGGTGACCATACAAGATATTGAGAACAGATGACCTTCACCTTGACAGATCTACTGTTCCATGTGTGTCACATTGTACATCGGTCAATGACAATGATGTGCGCAAATTTTGAACAATCGATAACCATCTGTTGACTATTTTATATGATATATAAAATATACGTCAAAAATCACTATTGCGTTTCTTTTGTGCAGAGTATAGTTGCATATATCGTCAAAGTTCAGGACAATTAGTCAAAATGAAAGGAAATGTCATCTGAATTAAGCATCAAAGTGAAGTCTGAGAATATGACATTTAGGCAAGAAGTAGGGTTCCACATGAACACCAGTCGTGGTCCCCTCTATGCGATTCTGTTTCGTCATGATTACAGGTTAAAATTTCTGCTCGGATCGGCAAAATCAAAACAAGGTAATTTGTTCAAGAACTGTCACTTTAGCTTCAGGTATATCGATGGTCTGATAGTGTTGACTGAAGGTCAAATAGCCAATTCACTTCCACTGATTTACCCACCTGAACTACAAATAGAAGAGACCAGTTAAACCCGTCTCATCTGTCACATATTATGAGGTAAGCATAACACTATGACAAACACTATCCATAAGATTGCATTACAAGGGGTCTGACTTCAACTTGAGCAATATAATGTCAAGCAATATTCCAGAAGCTCCAGCCTTTGGTTCTAAATATCGCAACGTTTTAGGTACAATTGAGCATGCTCTTTCCACGAACATTTCAAAGAGCATCATACCACTCTTACTCAAAGGCTGCTTGATCAGGGTTACAACTTTCAAGGCCTTTAATGAACTGGAGGGCATTTTCAAATGACCACATGACCACAATTTTGATTTATACCATATTGTCCCGTGTATTTTCAGGAAAGTAATTGAGCTGCCACCGATGGAAAAGGAAAGGCTCAGCTTTTCGCGAACATCTGCGTGGATCGATGCTCATGATGTCAATCGCTGGATTGTCTGATCCAGTCTCGATTCTTTACAGACCGCCGTCATATAGCTTGAATATTGCTGAGTGCGGCTTGAAACAACAAATATACAATAAGCATATCAACTACTGATGTTATTGCTGTGAATCTTTGAAGGGCTGATATTGTCACTCGAAGATATGGTCATAACACATCATAATCAGGCTCGCTGGCTAGGTTGATGCATGCCATCGTATCTCAATTGCGTGGATCGATGCTATTGATGTCAATCGCTGGACTGTCTGATCAAGACTCGATTAGTTACAAAACCGCCGTCATATTGCTTGAATATTCCTGAGTCCGGCATTAACAAACCAACCAACAAACCAACCAACCAACCATCCAACCACTAGTGGTTAAAGCGTTCGCTCGTCACGCCGAAGACCCGGGTTCGATTCCCGACATGGGTACAATGTGTGAAGCCCATTTCTGGTGTCCCCCGCCGTGATATTGCTGGAATATTGCTAAAAGCGGCGTAAAATCATACTCACTCACTCACTCACTCCAACCAACCAACCAACAAAAAAACAACAACAAAAATAAAATCAACAAGATTGGATACGCATATGAACAAAAAATATATGCGTTGAAAAATCTGAAGTATATTCTTTGAGTATATTCTGCAACAAAAGGGGGACAAAAAAGTCAAGTACGTTCTGATGTGATTTATTGTTAACCGATGAAGACCATCTAGTTCTGTAGTCTACACACTCACCATCTGATGATGTAAGTGCAAGAGGGTTCATGCAGTGGCGATTGAAATTGTATCAAACTAAATGGTCAACGCCAGACAATAATCGGTTACGTTTGTCTGACGAAATGGATTTCATTGGGAAAGAAAGGCAAAATAATTGTGGACATTATATGAGTCGATCACTGGAAATCAGTGATAACACCGAGTGTCCGCGAAAATCTGCATTCCAAACTAATACTAAATATATAAACACGTCTCATTTTAATTCGGGAAACCCATTTGTTCAGAAACTCTCCATGCTGTGGCCAGTCTCGGTCAAGGGTATTTTCGAAATTCAACATGCTGTTTTCATGGGTACATTTCATGGGAACATTTCATGGGCTGGCCTATGGGCGAGAATATTTTTAGCTCAAAATTCATGTTTTTGTTTTGAAATTTGTAAAGGTGTCTCTACAAGTATCATGGCACATAATTTAACTATTTTTGACTTAAACCAACTAATTTGTGGCTTTATTAAAATATGTCGCCCATGGGCGAAAACGTATGGCCGATTAGCGAGAATACTTTCCTTTGCTCAAAACTCACGTTTATGTTTTGCATATTATAAATGTGTTTCTACAAATATCATGACACATAATTCATCTCATTTTGACTTAATCCCACTAATTTGTGGAGTTATTATATTTTTCGCACAATGGCGAAAATATTTTCCTTTGCTCAAACTTCATGGTTTGGTTTTGGAATATATAAAGGTTTTTCCCTAAGTATCATGACACATAAGTCAACTCATTTAATTCAGCTAATTGAAAGCCTTATTGGAATGTTTCGCCTATAGGCAAACGCATTTTGCCCACAGGCGCGCAAAGTGTCATTTGATCAAAACTCATATTTTCTATTTGCAAATGCATAAAGGTGTGTCAGCAAGTATCATGACACTAACTCTATTGCTCACAGTTCATTGTATCATCACTTTTTGACAGGGATTCATGAACAAATGTTCATGGTTTAGTCGGAATCGTATAATCGTATGAATATGGAAATGGATTTTCTCGCTTCTATTACAAATACATAAGTTTGTGTCAACAAGTAACCTGAATCATCATTCAACGTATTTCGTTAACTTAATTCAGCTAATGTTTAGCGTTATTAAAATATTTGACTCATGGGAGAAAATGTTTGGTGCATGGTGCAGCAAATATACTCCTTTGCTCAAACTTAAACTCCTTTCCAGGTTATGCAAAAACACAGATGTGAAACTAAATGTATCATGTCAAGGTTTTCATTGACACACGTACGTATATATGAATGTATTTACAGAATGATTTTAGCAATTTACCATGGTCAAGTGTAAAGACAACATTCTCAAATCCGGAAAAAGCGGATTCATATCTCTAAGCTTTTGCCTGTAAAGTAAAAACATGAGATGTATAGTTTCTTTAACATTTTATTGTAACAATAGTACAAAATGGAGCTGTCACAACGATTTATGAGTAGCAAAATTAACAATACAATTATACATCACAAGTTGTCATTGCACTCGGCATGTAATAAAAATATTTGTTCTGTCTGTTAGCGATCGACCATTTGTATTCGGGTTGGGAGGGGGGGATTCCTAGGCTAAAATAAACTGTCCTCATGATTTACCCAAAATAACGTTCACTAGACATTCTGGATGTCCTGTAAAATACATTGTTTAGTTCCTCCTTTCAGAGAAGAACATTGTAAGTCTTGAAGTGCTGAGTGAACAAATCCTCTCTCAAATAATGATGCCAGCCCCCCGAAGCCCTTCACACCAATACTGAATGGTCGGTCCCAACTTATAACCTTTGGTCGTGGAGAGACCAGTTACACTTGTATTAACATGTTGTATCTGTAAAACCGGGAATGTGTTGTACATTGAACCACAATGTACACAGTATAAAAAACAATTCGATAAAGCTTGACGTACATATATCTTGGCTAATGAACGATAGATAGTTATTTTCTGTTTCGCTTGTACACTATTTTCAATATTTGCTGTACGTGTCAATCAAATGAATGATTTCAAAGTCACAATTAAAAGTATGAATAGCCCATAAGCTATAATTCTCAAAGAAACACAACAGCAAAGCGTTTCACACTAAGACACATGTCTGCGATAACAGTGTTATTTGAGTTTTATGGAGTTGGTTATGGTTCTATTTCATAGAACTGGACCAGTTCGTTATTGACACGTTGAAAGGCACTTCTCGTAGGAACCTGTACGTTGTGTTCGGCATTTGAATCGATAAATGGATGTATTCAGTGAGTGATGGTATATGTAAGCAGAACATTCCACTGACAAGGGAATATACATGTGGGAGGAAAACTAACAATGAGTAAGTTGAGGTTAACGCAGATTTGAACAGGGTTTCCGTGTCACGGCGTGTAAGCCTAATGAGTGAGGAAACAAAAATGTGATAGATTGATATTGATGTTTACCAGTTTGGTAAAAACCCACTTGCGCGTGTTTGAAGCTGACCAACCTGGAACAAGAATCATTGTGAATTTGGGATTCAAACCATGGATAATCAGATTCTGGCACGACTGGTCAGCGAATTCAGAAGGGGATACCCTGCTTCTTACTTTGAAAATACTATATACTCTCCATATTGCATTCTTCATGTACAATTTGATATATTGCAAACTGTGCGTATGAGTGAACATGTTAACATATTTCAATATATAAATCCCTTCCTCCTCCGCGTTGATATTCACTTAAGTATCCTTGCGCGCACATTTGTCTCAACGCTCGATCCCATTTAGAAAGCTTTAATGTCTGCTTCAGGGGCAATGCATTGTACAGATCCTATTCAGTACGACAGGAAATTAGTGAGAAATGGTTAAACAGTGTCAGTGTGTTCAACTGGTGTCGATAGGACTGCTGCGAACATATAGCCTAGGGTTTATATGAACATCAACTGGTTCGGTGAGCAATAATAACCGGGTTTGTATCACATAGTGTATCATCTAGGTAATGAAATGCAAAAATGCGAAAGAACAACTCAGATTTAAGGTCCCAGATGTATGTACAAGAGGATAACATCTTACTATGTAAAACCTGAACCAAAACTATAGCCAAATGGGATAAAGTGTGACTAGAAACACAAAAAGAGAAAACTATGTATGATTTGAATGTAAAAGATCTCGGATTGGTTTACATAAAAAGGCAGTTTTTAAAAAAGATAATGTATCCGTTGGAGAAATGAAGTGATCCGAGGAAAGATGTGATATTTTCGTAAACTAAAACTCAATCATGATTATGTGCAAATTACCACGAATTTGTATATATAATCAATTTTGAAGATTATGAATCCTGACAAATCTAAACTAAGTTATGCACATATTTAAGTGGTTTGAGCTATGGGATGTAGCTTGATGCATCGATTTCTACAAAAGCTGGCAATACAACACGCCATATATACAAATAGCCCAACACTAAAAGTGAGCAAATTACACAGAAGCTGCCTGTAAAAAGGGTCTTACAACAGGTATTAGATATGAAGTTATCGTGACTGTGAACTGTTTATATGCATCACATATTTGCACTGAATGAAACAATGACTTGCATTATAGTGATAAATCCCACCGAGACAAGCGTTAAATTAATGAAACAAATCGTAACTAATATATATTACTGCTTATATTTTTTGGATGACATATTTTGAATGGAAATGGAACAAAACTTTTCTAACACTTAGCTTAACTCGACTGGGTCTTCATAGCCGTGTGGATCCTTTTCCTTTTTTTAAAACCTGTGCTGTCTGATCGTTTTGGAAAAGGGCAGCCAGTATAAGGTCACATTAACGATAAATGCGTATCTACGGCACGCTGTTTGATTATGATACGTAGCAATAACGGTAACGGTAATACCAGACACAACACTATTACATCAACAACGTGCAAGGACATTGACATGGGATATCTGGCATATTCATGAACTAAACAGAGGTGATTGACAGAGTAGTAAGGATTCGAACATTACAATAAAATCCAGTACAAAATAACACATGCATTATACGCTACTTCAAAGTACGAACGAAATCATTGTATTACCGTCTATAAACCAAGAACCTACAACATATCAGTGATACCCACAATAACTCACATATATAAAATGATATTGTCTCTTTCACAACTTCCAGCGATGGTCAGACCGCTTAATGCAAAGTTGCACTACTTACAGCGATGGTCAGACTGCTTTATGCAAAGTAGCACTACTTACAGCGATGGTCAGACTGCTTAATGCAAAGTAGCACTACTTACAGCGATGGTCAGACTGCTTAATGCAAAGTAGCACTACTTACAGCGATGGTCAGACTGGTTAATGCAAAGTAGCACTACTTACAGCGATGGTCAGCTAAATGCAAAGTAGCACTACTTACAGCGATGGTCAGACCGCTTAATGCAAAGTTGCACTACTTACAGCGATGGTCAGACTGCTTCATGCAAAGTTGCACTACATACAGCGATGGTCAGACCGCTTAATGCAAAGTAGCACTACTTACAGCGATGGTCAGACTGCTTAATGCAAAGTAACACTACTTACAGCGATGGTCAGACAGCTTAATGCAAAGTAGCACTACTTACAGCGATGGTCAGACCGCTTACTGCAAAGTTGCACTACTTACAGCGATGGTCAGACTGCTTCATGCAAAGTTGCACTACATACAGCGATGGTCAGACCGCTTAATGCAAAGTAGCTCTGCTTACAGCGATGGTCAGACCGCTTAATGCAAAGTAACACTACTTACAGCGATGGTCAGACAGCTTAATGCAAAGTAGCACTACTTACAGCGATGGTCAGACTGCTTAATGAAAAGTTGCACTACTTACCGCGATGGTCAGACTGCTTAATGAAAAGTAGCACTACTTACAGCGATGGAAATACACGCTTGCACTACTTTCTGCTATGGTCACATTGCTTTATCAAAAAGTAGCACAACTGACAGCGACGGTGAGACCTCATAATGTAAGCTTGCACTATTAACAGCGATGGTCATGCCGCTTAATGCAAAGTAGCACTACTCACAGCCATGGTCAGACTGTTTTATGCAAGCTTGCACCACTTATAGTGACGATCAAACTGCTAAATGCACCAACGGAACGTGCAACTGAAACCTCACGAAAGACAATCGCCTTACACGGAGCACAATTACACACAAATTAACCTAGTTGAAAGTTGACAAATTGACGAACAAATTTGTATTGTGAAGCTACATCATTAAAATAGAACTTGAAGTAATGATGATACCCCGATTGTTCACTGGGCCATGATTACTCATTTTGTCAAGGAAGAACCAGTCTGTCATTATGCCCAAGTAGCACTACTTAAAGTGGTGGTCTGTCCCCTTAATGCAGTAGCACTACTTACATCGAAGGTCAGACAGCACAATGCAAAGTAGCACTACTTACAGCGATGGTCAGACCGCTTAATGCAAAGTAGCACTACTTACAGCGATGGTCAGACCGCTTAATGCAAAGTAGCACTACTTACAGCGATGGTCAGACAGCACAATGCAAAGTAGCACTACTTACATCGAAGGTCAGACAGCACAATGCAAAGTATCACTACTTACAGCGATGGTCAGACCGCTTAATGCAAAGTAGCACTACTTACAGCTATGGTCAGACAGCACAATGCAAAGTATCACTACTAACAGCGATGGTCAGACCGCTTAATGCAAAGTTGCACTACTTACAGCGATGGTCAGACAGCACAATGCAAAGTAGCACTACTTACATCGAAGGTCAGACAGCACAATGCAAAGTATCACTACTTACAGCGATGGTCAGACCGCTTAATGCAAAGTAGCACTACTTACAGCGATGGTCAGACCGCTAAATGCAAAGTAGCACTACTTACAGCGATGGTCAGGCAGCACAATGCAAAGTAGCACTACTTACATCGAAGGTCAGACAGCACAATGCAAAGTATCACTACTTACAGCGATGGTCAGACCGCTTAATGGAAAGTAGCACTACTTACAGAGACGGTCGGACTGTTTTGTGCAAAGTAGCACAACTTACAGCGATGGTCAGACTGCTTAATATGAGCTTGCACTACTTACAGCGACAGTCAGACCGCTTAATGCAAAGTAGCACTGCTTACAGCGATTGTCAGACCACTTAATGTCAAGTAGCACTACTTACAGCGATGGTCAGACTGCTTAATATAAGCTTGCACTACTTACTGCGATAGTCAGACCGCTTAATTGAAAGTAGCACTACTAACAGAGACGGTCGGACTGTTTTGTGCAAAGTAGCACAACTTACAGCAATGGGCAGACCGCTTAATGGAAAGTAGCACTACTTACAGAGACGGTCGGACTGTTTTGTGCAAAGTAGCACAACTTACAGCAATGGGCAGACCGCTTAATGGAAAGTAGCACTACTTACAGAGACGGTCGGACTGTTTTGTGCAAAGTAGCACAACTTACAGCAATGGGCAGACCGCTTAATGGAAAGTAGCACTACTTACAGAGACGGTCGGACTGTTTTGTGCAAACTTGCGCAACTTACGGTGATGAACAAACCGCTTAATGCACCAACGGAACGTGCGACTGAAACCTCACGAAACCGCCTTACACGCAGCACAATTATAGTTAAATGTAAATAAATGTATTGTTAAATCATTAAAATAGAATTTGTTCTTTTATCAATGATTACTCAGTTTGTCAAGGACGAAATGTCATTATGCAAATAAACACTACTAACAGCGATGGTCAGACCGCTTAATGCAAAGGAGCACAACTGACAGCGATGTCAGACCGCTTAATAGAAGCTTGGACTACTTACTACGATGGTCAGACTGCTTAAGTACAGTAGCACAACTTAGAGCGATGGTCAAACTGTTTTGGGCAAGCTTGCACTACTTACGGTGATGATAAAACTGCTTAATGCACCAACGGAACGTGCAACTGAAACCTCATGAAAGACAACCGCCTTAAAAGCAGCACAATTGCACACAAATTAACATAGTTGAGTGTTAAAAAAGTGACGAACAAATTCGCCCTGTGCGACTACATAATTACATTGGTATTTGGTTTAATAACAATACCCCGATTTAGCAATGATTACTCATTTTGTCAAGGAAGAACTGTCTGAATACCGTTAGACAGTGGCCAACAGAGTATGGCAAGTCAAAGAAATGAGATTAATCAATTGTGATTTGATCGATTCTCCTCATATGTCAGAACGTATTATAAAAAAAACCTATTTGAACCCTTGAGACTGGAGGAAAACGTTACTGTAAGTACCATGCCATGCACACATGCATTTAGCCCAGCGTCTCTTGTTAAGAACTTCATTCCTCATTACACGTAATCTGGTGTAGGAGAACTGAGAAACATGTTGCTTCTTCTGATGTACTTCATCATACTGCGCACCTTGTCCCTAAATCGCCTGTTCAGCAGCCAATACATCACCGGATTCACTGCACTGTGCGCATGTCCGAGCCAAAGAGCAAAGGGAAGTAATCGGACCGGTTCACTTTCTTCTGCGATGTCAACACTGAGTGACGTTATGTTGTATGGAAGCCAGCAGATCATGAATATCACCACAAGTATGATGAGCATACGAGCGGCACGCTTTCTGGAGAACAGTCTCTTTGTGCTGCTGTCGGAGCTTTCCCTGCACATATCATCGCTGCAAAGAGTCTTACCGACATGCGCATAACAGATGGCCAGAGTGCCCCCTGGGATGATATAAATCATGAACAGAAGAAATACACCAAATGCCTGACGATCATAATCCTGCGGCCAGTCCTCGATGCAGAATTGCATCACAGTTAATTGTGGCATTTCCAATGTGTCAATTTTTCTTATATATAAAAGTGGTCCCATGAAAATGCCTGATACGATCCAAATAACCAAAATGATGATAAGTGCCTGTCCCGGCGATGTCACCCGATGTGCTGTTACAGGATGCTGAATCGAGATGTAACGATCGATGCTCATCGCAGTCAGCGTGAAGATACTGTTGGCCACTGCAATACCTGAAATGCGGTTTGAAACACGGTTAGAATCGATGTTGCGCTATGGTGTAAATGTTACACGCAATCTGTGCAACTGCCCACTGCGTGCATTTGGCAGGCCGTTTGCCCAATGCATGCAATGGACGGTGACGTGAGTTTTAAAATCTTATTCACAGAAGTCGAAAGGACAAAGATATTTCATAAGGATCTATTCACCTAAACGATGATCTTCGCTGAACTTTATCTATTCACACAATTGTTTTTTTCCTGCTTACAGTGAGTGAGTGAGTATGGTTGTACGCCGCTTTTAGCAATATTCCAGCAATACCACGGCGGGGGACACCAGAAATGGGCTTCACACATTGTACCCATGTCGGGAATCGAACCCGGGTCTTAGGCGTGACGGGCGAAACCACTCGGGTAACCACTAGGCTACCCGACCGCCCCCTTTTCCTGCTTACAAGCATGGGTTGGGTTATGCATAATTGCCAAACAAAACATGTAAAACAATACCAATTTCAATTGTGTGCTTTTGGCATTACCTTCCCATTGCGTGAAATGAGCAAGCTAGTTGTGCTCATAGTGTGAAATATTTGGACAATTACTTTTCATTCAAAACTATTGCCCTTTGCATGCAATGAGCAGATTATTGTTTGCACATTGCGTGCACTTGGCAAGCTGCATTGCTCGTTGCTCGCATTGGGCGAACGGCTGCCTAATGCACGCAATGAGCAATTGCACAGATTGGGCGAAAAATATATGTTTTATACTGGGCATACGAATATATATGTTTAACCTTGTTTGAGCATTCGACTACAATCTTAGTTGTTTTGACATGTATATGCAAATATGAACATGAACTGTTTTGATGTATGTCGTATAGAGCAACATTATGACATATCTAACATAAACATGGTTCCAACCAAGATACATAGATCAATAGCCTTAAAACAGTACATATGAACTTACCTTGCACGAACACTATAGCTTTACACAGAAATTCCCCGTATATCCATAATCTGTATATGATAGTCGTTATCGCCATCGGCATACAGAATAGCGTCACCATAAGGTCGGCTGCTGCTAGATTTAACAAGTAGTAGTTCTTGGCCTTCCTCACATTCTTGTCACTTGCTACAGTGCAGATGATCAGGATGTTCCCCACGAGTCCGACGAGAAAGATAGGGGCATACAGTGACAGCAGAATCACTGTTCTGTATGTCATACGAGTGTAGTAGCTGTGCTCAAAGTCATGAAGTATGTCCTCCGCCCCTGTGAAGTTGTAGGGGTATCCGAGAAACGCTGTGAAGTTCTTGGACTCCAACAGGTGCTTGTAGGAGTTATATTCTTGTTGCTGATCCATCCCGGATGCCACCGAATCGGGGAGGATCTGCAAGAAACAAACGTCAGATTTGTTATCACACAGATACACTTATACAAACGCCATCTTCCTACCCTTGCATCAGAATTCATACAAGCGTAGAAATACAAATTGCAAAATATTAAGACATTTAATTTAAAATACATTAACAGCAAACGATTTGCCAGGAACTCATCGGAATTGGCAGTGCTCACTAAATGATACCTATGTATAATTGGCCTGCGATATCAGTGGTTGTGGTGCTTCGATTATGTAGTGTACGCTGTGCCCATGTAGACGGTTCACTTATACTAGTGTGCATGAAAGGATCGTGTAACACTGCTCGGAGACTATAGGTGTATTGATTGTCCACTGACCAAGCTAATAACAATGGAAGATTCATTGCTTGGACACAATCCCATGGTCAGATGGAGATACATGTAGGACGTTGATGAACATGACCAGTAAATGACCGACATGTGACCTCAATGGCATTGATTTGGGACAACATACTGTGTGAGGTTGGTAGAGCTTTGAACAATAGAGAGGGGGACTCATAATGTATGCAGACATAATATAACTGATCACAAGAATATTTTCATGCTTATGGGATAGGTTTTGCAAACGATGACCAACGTTATCTTGATAAATCATTTGGCATTGGTGTCTTCATTCCTTGCACAATTTAAATAGGACGTATATAAATTCATCGTTCATGGATAGGATCTCGTTGACCAAATACTAAATCAGCAACATCATTGCATCACGGCTCCTGTTGGGCAATACGTTCGCCAACCTATATCCAGAAGAGACTATCTTAGATTTATAGGAGTGGCTGAGAACTCTACGCAAAACTCTTCAAAGCTGTTAGGCACCAGTTTCTATTAATAATTATGTTAATCTATTATTTATCTTAAAGCATGAACACAGTAAGTGAGTGAGAGGGATTTAAGGACGCTTTGAACAGTATCTCAGTTTTATCACAGCATGCCAGTTTGTCATGGATGCTTTAGAGAAACCCACAGCGCACACTTTGGTGAAAGTATGTCGCAGGTATGGCACATGAAGGGTCATAATCAGGGAGATTCCTGATTTCGAACCTACGATCAACAGATCCTGGGGAGACTAAGGGAAGCAACCCAACTCAGCGAATTGCAGCGCCTGAATCCCCACCTATCCCCCGTGCCCTCACAGGAACACACTTACTGCCTACGATACAAGTTCCTGTAAATGTGTCACCATACTGAAACTGGGACTGCGACATGGACCATGGTGTGTCACTATTCATAACGTGGACTGCGACATGAACCATAGTGTATCACTATTTATAACGCGGACTGCGACATGGACCATAGTGTGTCACTATTTATAACGCGGACTGCGACATGGACCATAGTGTATCACTATTCATAACGTGGACTGCGACATGGACCATAGTGTGTCACTATTCATAACGTGGACTGCGACATGGACCATAGTATGTCACTATTCATAATGTGGACTGCGACATGGACCATAGTGCGTCACTATTCATAACGTGGACTGCGACATGGACCATAGTGTGTCACTATTTATAACGTGGACTGCGACATGGACCATAGTGTGTCACTATTCAAAATGTGGACTGCGACATGGACCATAGTGTGTCACTATTCATAACGTGGACTGCGACATGGACCATAGTGTGTCACTATTCATAATGTGGACTGCGACATGGACCATAGTGCGTCACTATTCATAACGTGGACTGCGACATGGACCATAGTGTGTCACTATTTATAACGTGGACTGCGACATAGACCATAGTGTGTCACTATTCATTATGTGGACTGCGACATGGACCATAGTGTGTTACTATTCATAATGTGGACTGCGACATGGACCATAGTGTGTCACTATTCAAAACGTGGACTGCGACATGGACCATAGTATGTCACTATTTATAACGTGGACTGCGACATGGACCATAGTGTGTCACTATTCATAACGTGGACTGCGACATGGACCATAGTGTATCACTATTCATAACGTGGACTGCGACATGGACCATACTATGCCACTATTCATAATGTGAACTGCGACATGGACCATAGCGTGTCACTATTAAAAACGTGGACTGCGGCATGGACCACAGACATCCTATAAGTCGATGGTGATTATGTATTTAGCCCATAATTAGATCTTTGTGTATCGAAAGCATGATTAAAAGTGAGTGTACAGTATGTCACGTTACCTATTCTATTTGCATCTTAACGGCTGGTGATCCTATCTATCACGAACTCATTCTATTGACATTCTAAATGGCAGGGTCTCTTAATAAGATTCGTAAATCTTGTGCAATACCGTTTAGCAAATGTCAGAGGCTATTTCAGGTGCACTGAAGAGGACAGTAATGACAGCATTATGTAACGACTAAGAGGCAAAGCTGAACAGCTATTACATGGGCGTGCATGTTTACATACTATTAATAACAGGGTGTTACATCAAGCACATACTTCTATTCCTTTGTGTGTCGAACTGGATTTTAAGTATCTGATACATATAACAACCTGAACCTTATCTTTGTGCCTTTATACACCGGGAAATTAACTAAAGACACCCTGTTTTATCGACCATGTATGGCTAACTTTATGGTCTCGCTTGCATCTAGTCAGAAATATGAAGGATGAATAGAAACCACCGGGAAAATGAGGCTCTCGTATAACGATTACGCAGATAATGATGGTAATCTTCACTATTGTAATTGCGTGAATAACAGTTTAGACAGTGCTGTGGTAAACTCGAACTGGGAATCACAATAACTATAGATGTGGAAAGTTGTAATAATCTGGTATAAAAGACCATTGACCATCGCTGTCCGAAAACGTTCAGTGTAATCTCATAAAGACAATCCATAAAACCCTTAGCGACTGTAACCGCCACGTGTCTGGATGATGGTTCTTGAACATCCCCACATATTCGTTTAGCTAGTCCCTTTACATGTCAACGGTGATATGACTAGTGGGGTCCTCGGGGGGGGGGGGGGGGGGGGGGGGTTCGAGCTCATTCCCTTTAGAGGTAACTACATGAATTATGTTATTGTATAAAACGAGTAAAGCACGAACATAAATATATAAATATGAGCAATTATGATTAGGAAGGTACTCCTGGAAGCGTATTTGGAATGAGCTGTCAAAACAATCCTTCTGAGCATCCGTCACCGGGTCATCCATATGCCCACAGCAAGGAGACCGATGTCGTGACGATTCTCCATTGGAATAACACATTATCTGGCCACGAGGCATGTCTTTAGATGAAACAAAGGCTTCACAGAGCTGAAAAGGTCAAGATGATTGCTTTGTCTTTCTCTTTCTCTCGTTATAAATGTATGACTCATCTATTTATGTCCAGTACAAGTAAACATGTACGCGAACATTGGCATATATTACTAACTGCTTAATTAGGAACGTTTCATATTTGGCTTCCAATTAAAACGCAATAGGTGCACATAAATGCAATCTGTCAGAACAGTAAAACATATTACCCTATGATTATATTCCTATTCCAGAACTGTTAGAGGAGAGTGGCTTGCTCAAAAGTTGTTTGATTAGGGTTACAACATTCAAAGCCTTAGTAAAACTTTCACAAAGTTTTGTGATAGCTGATTGACAAATATGATGTCCGATGCAATTCCTTATTTTGACTTGTACCAAAGATTCCCATGTTTCTTTCAGACAAATAATTACCATGCCTTTGCATGTGTCTGTATTTGGTATCATAACTATTTGATAGGATTCATAAAACATGCGTATGAAATAGTCGGAATCGTACAACTGGAGATCATAATCAGGGCGTATCTGCGATTCGAATCCACAGTCGGCGGGTCCTGTCTCGCCATAGGGACGCGATTCTGCACAATGTCTTACACAGCATCGCTGGGCTATCTAATTGGTAAAAGAGTAAGGTTTCCATGACGTCAAAATAGTATTTTTTGTATCTATATAGTTAACATACCTTACAACATTTAACCATAACTGACAGAGTGACAGAGCGATCTACACAATGTGCAGCTTACTGAACATACATGTACATGCGTGATGGATGCCAAGGTCAAATACAGCTCTACCAACAAAGGCAAAGGGTGATTGCAAACAGACACAAGAGGCTTTCCCTGGGTTACTGGTAATGACTGCCAATGCTCAATTGTTTCTAAACTTGATCGAAAAGGGAAATTGCTTGAAAAAAATAGATAGCCTTGTCGGTGGAATGTCAGGACAATCCCGCTGAATTCTTACACTCAAGAGTTGGGCTTGAGATTGCATCACTAAAAAACCCTATTGATTCTATTCTAGAATTGTAGAACAAAGAAAAGTCAAACCCTAATGAACTTAGACAGTACCGATGGCACATAGCGAGGCCAAGAAATAGTTGATGGATCATATTATTTTTGACCTGTTGACATTTGTTGACTACATGTGTCACTGATATGATCGAGGAAACTACCTATGGCAGGTCAAGTGGCAACGTTAAGATTCCTTGACGAAGGCAAATGGCACCATCATTGATTTCCATTTCCAAGCTTATAGTACAGGGTCTTGCCAAGGGAATGTTTAAACTAATCTCTCATGTATTATACGTGTATTTAGGAACTGGCAAGGGCTGTGCAAAATGTGATGATGTCTAACTTTCTCCAGCTCTTCAATGGGTGACATTTAAATTCTCTTTGATATACTATTACCACAACTACAATGGTCAGTAGAGCCTACTTAACCGCGATGTCTCAGAATCACAAACAGAATCAAATTCCTCTTTCACGAAGCCATCAAAACAAGACATGAATATTGAATATATATTACATATTAGCCGGTAAAATATAAACTGGGCGGCAATAGAAAGTATAGGTCGAGTTCCATGATCGATAAAAAAATAACAAGAAGAGGTTTTGTTGTGAATTATAATATAATCTAGGGAGGGGTAACAAATGATTGATCAACCACAGTTTGGATGAAATTGTGCAATCACAGGTAATGTAAGCTCAAGGTAATCAATGG